ATTCATCGAGCATTTATTGAGCAACTACCTCATGCAGTGCGTGTCTTCAGATGGTGTGGCTCTTCCTTCCTTCCTTCTGTAGCTCATCAAACGTTATTTAGCACTTACTGTTCAAAAGGAACAGTATTAGGAGCTGGGAGGAGACTGAGAAGAATTAGACACGGATCTTTCTCTCAACAAGCTAACAACCCCAAAGTAGAGAGAAAACAGGTGCACAGAGGTTTTGTTTTGTTTTGCTTTGTTTGTTGACTCCCCTGAGTCCTGGTGGGTATTTTTTCCTGTGAATGTTCGGTTCTTTCTGCCTAGACTGCCCTTTCCCATGATTTTCTGGGGACTTGCCCTTAGCCTTTGAGATTCAGTTCAAGGCCAGCTGCTTTGTCAAGTCTTCCTGACGCCCTTCCCCATCCCTGCTCTGAGCCAATGTAACACCCTATGCACACCTTTAATATAAGCTCATCTTATTATATCGTGGTCATTGGTTTCTTATCCTGCGTGTTTTTATGAGATTGCAAGGTCCTCAGGGAAGGGACTATGTTTTAAGAATCTAGATGGATGTAGGACTAAGCATGAGACCTGGAACATAACAGGTACTCAGTAAATACACATGGTGTGAAGAAGTGGATGAATGGGTAAATGTGAAACAAAATGAAGCATCCTAGATAGGAGAACAAATACAAGGCACTGAGGTCTAGGGACAGGAATTACCACTGGGAAATGGAGGGAAATGGAGGGGTCAGGGAAGGTTCCCTGGATGAGCACGCTGTTGGAACTAGCCTGGGAGCATATGTATGATTTAGTTACATGGAGTCACTGAAGGATTGGTGATGGGGATGAAGAGGGTGATCGACAGGGAAAATGTGAACAGTGGCACACGGGCCCAGAAGTACAGAACCGAAGGCGGCAGGGATGGGCTCTTCAGACTATCTGTAGCCTGGCTCCCCTGAAGTTCAGTGATGGGAGGAAGATCAGACCAGACTGAGAAGTCTAATCTCTGGTCTGTCCTTAGAATTCTTCAGTAACAACTTTCATCCGTAATACAACAGGGAGGGTTCTGAATGGGAGAAGAATAAAGTGGTAGCAGAGAAACAGGGTGTCGCTGAAGACTACTTTTAAAAGCAAATACCTGCTTAGATTTGGGGCGGTACCTCAATATCTAGACTAAGTTTTCCTAAGACAAACTGTTTCCCTAAGGAAATGTGGAAGAAGGAAGACCAGACTCTCCCTTTCCTCCCCGCTCCCTCGTCCTCTGGCCCAGTATTCCCTATGCCCTCCAGAACAACTTGTGATGCCCAGGACCTCCCCACAGAAACCCTCCTGGGATGAAACAATCTTTATTTCCCATGGCCAAGGGTCTCACCACATCTTTCCAGCCTGACTGCTCAGTGAACATCACAGATAGTCACAAGCTCATGAGAGCTTGCTTCCAGAACATGCTGCCTTGACCTTTTTCTTTGAGATCCTTATAGCAAACCAGCCTCTCTTCCAAACCTTCTGATTTATGACCCTCTCTGACCTCAGATACCTGCAAGAATCTGGAACAGCTTCAACTCTGCCTCCTTGGCCAACTCTCCCTCCTTGGCCAACTCTCCCCTTCCTCATCCAGGCTTTTCAGGGATCATGGTTTTGTTGTTGCACTGGGGAGGCAGGAGTCTAAGGAGTGGAGACCTCGATTCTACATGATCTTGCTTCCTCTTGTCAATGCTCCATTATCCTTCATAGGGAGAATGAGAGCTGCATTCAGGACTGGTCCCTCCAGAACTCTCTGTGACCCTGAGTCCTTTCATAAATGCAGCCAAACAATAGGATGTTCAAGGTTCCTTTGGCTTTGACTGTGCTCATAAAATCTCCTAGAAGACATGGAGCAGTTTTGAGCCTCAGTGAACAAGTATTTGCAAGATTCTTGCAGTTGCCACGATGAATGCAGTAATATGACCATAGGGATTATCAGGATTCTGATGTGTTTGTATCTCCAAGTTATCTGTGCTGTATCTGCACAGTTGAGGTCGGAGAAAGTGGAGACATATCCCCTCAATGATGCTTAGTTTCCAAATAAATGAGCCACTTTCACAGCAATCCTATTTAACATAACATAAAATTAACTGTGGGAAAAGATCATGTTACAGACATCTTTAGGCACTTCAGGCACGCACAGAGCTATACTTCGCGAGGCAATATTAGGTATCATCAGGCGTTAAAAATGTTTTGATTTTAAAACACTTAATGAGGATTTCCAGATAAATTAAAGCAACTCCATCTGCTGTCTTGCATAGTAGGTGATATTTTACCCTTGCACAGTCTTCTCCAAATCTAATTCCACCAGGAAGACTTCTAATCACAGTTTAATTTTAGAGCAATATTCCACTTGGCAATCAATAAGGTACTGTCGTCAAACTTTGATTTAATAGGAAACGTGGATAACATTCTCCACGTTATGCAGAGAGAGAAATACTTTGAGGAAAGGGGGAGAAAGAGAATGTCTTTGTCTTCCACTTTCCCCTGCTGCATACCATTCTAGTTCACAAAAGCCTATAAATCAATACACCCATGTTGTGTGAATATAAATCTCATCAATTTTACATCATTAACACTGTGAAAAAGCTACCACTCTTTGAGCACTTTTCCTCCACTAGCTAAGCATGTCCACTTAATAAAACAAGAATAAATGGATTCTTGGTCTTCCACTAACAAACATTTCCTTCCCCGCCAACTTTATTTGGGTCAGAATTCACTAGAATTACACAGTTGTCTTGTGGCCAGTTAGGTGACTAGACAGTGACACCACCCACCAAGCATGATGTGCAGCGGTCAGTGGAAAACCTGGGCAAGTCACGACCAGAAGGGAGAGTCACAAGAGCAGTCAGAGAGGTTAATGAGTGATCAGAGTCTAGAAGGTCAAGGTGCAACAGCAAATTCTACTGCAGAAATGATTCATGAGGTCAGAAACCTAGAAAGATCGTAGCAGTGTGGGAATGGGTGTTTTGGAAGGCCAGGGCCAGTAGTCTGGAACTAAGGTGATGACCATCATGAGACTAGATGTCCACTGACCTAAGAGACTGGCGGTGTGGTTCAAGGTCCTAATGGCTAAAAGATCTTGCGTGATAGGACCAGACCTTCCAGAACATCTACTCCAGTGATTCCTACCATGTTCATGATTAAGTTCCCTTTGTGTTACATGTCTCCCTCCTTCCGTGGACTCGGTAACAGGTAAGATTTTGTCCAGCCAAAAAAAAAAGGGTATTTATAATCATTCACTTTCCTACTTGAATTATTCAAACCCATAAGTAAATGCCAAAGAGAATCTCCTCAGAGATGATTCTAAGGAGTACAACATAAACCTGATACATTTCGAAAAGAACTTGGCATTTTCATTTGCATGCACATGTGTAGTCTTAATTAAGAGTAGTTACAAATTTCTGCTTAGCTTTTTGAAATGTTGAAAACTGCTTAGGACTTCTTTTTATTACCTTTAATGATGCAAGTAGACCCAGGGCTTTGAGTTAGGAGCCATTGATCTGGTACAAACTTCTCATTGGATAGAAGAAGAAACAAAGGTCCAGAGAGGTGCAGGGAGTGCATTGTGCTCACAAAGTGGCCAGAATACAAGGCTCTTAATATGTAATTTAATGAAAAGGCCCCTTATAAGGACTTTAAGCACATCATATAATGCCCAGCTACCTGCGCAAGCCTTTACACAGAGTACTAAGTGTTGCTTTGAGTAGGTTTAATATAGGAAAATGGTCCTACAGATGGCCATCACCATTAGGATGGCAAGCATTATTTGTTGAAGCTTAGATAATAAAGGTGGGAAGATCAGCTTCGAAAGACTACCAAATTACTGATCAACTATCCTGATTTACTTGAGTTCAGGAACTATGGGTCAAACATAGCACAAGGTTCTAGGAAGACAGAGTTAAGGAAGATGGATCCTGTGAAGACAGACAAGGAGCCAGGTAAATATATCAGAGTAGGAAGGTCTGGAAAACAAGAACCCAGGGAGCTGTGTGTGAGGACTCCATTAGGAATTGCCGTGTCAGTAGAGACCGAAGTTCTATGGAATTATTTCTTCAGAGGAGGAAAAGCAAGCCTCATTCAGGGAAGATTTCACAGAGGTGGTGCTATTCAAATGTCTTTTTTTTTTTTTACATTTGTTTATTTATTTTGAGAGAGACAGACATAGTGCGAGTGGGGGAGGGGCAGATTGCGAGCGAAAGCAAGAGAGAGAGAGAGAGAGAGAGAGGAAATCCCAAGCTGGCAGCATAGATCCCAACCGGGGGCTCGAACCCACAAAACCGTGACCTCATGACCTGAGCCAAAACCAAGAGTTGGACACTTAACCAACGGAGCCATCCAGGCGCCCTTCAAATGTCCTTTTGAAAGGGAATAGGAGGATTCAGGCAAATGGGTAGAAGAATGGGCATGGCAAACAGAGGGACCAGCCCAGGAAGAGCTTGAGAACTAACGGCATCTACCTCTAGCCCAGATGGTGACTCTGGACAAGATAGAAGAAGGTGTTTGTTCCCTGAGACACTCTGTCACCATCGGTCAAAAAAGGGTTGTAACCATACAAGTGCATAGTTCTGTGACACTGAACGGTACTCCCTGTACTTTTCCACCAAGGCAAGCAGAGGCCCTGGGGATGGAAATGTATTAAATATCAAGCCGGAACTTCAGTGGGGCTGTGTCACAAAGAGAGCTGTCGCAGAAGCCTGCACCTTGAACTAGACTGACTGGCCCTGGCAAGCTTAATGGAAGCCACGGCCACAGACGCTCATTCAGCATATGAGCAGTCCTGTTTGTCTGCCTGGTCACAGCACTAAGACCATGGAGGAAAGCCTCCACCCCTCAAGGGCAGGCGCAGCTCTTTTTTCCTTCCATCTGGACCCAACAGCTTTTCCAAAGCCCTTCGGGCCTGTTCACACGTAGCTGAAACGCATCTCTTATTGATCAACAGCTCGAAGGGAAAGTCCCATGAAATATGTTCTTCCTTTTGTCTCTGATAGGCCCTTCAGCATCATCATGCTGTTCATGAAATTTCCTACATTGCAAAGGACATCACAGACCACCGGGCCTTTGGATACGTTTGTGGGAAGGAAGGGAATCACAGATTTGTCGCCATAAAAACAGCCCAGGCGGTGAGTATCCCCATCCAAGGAGGGCGCCTTTCCTGGTAGCTTTAGGGGACAGCGCGTGCAGTCACGCTGTTGGTGTTTGAAGGCCGCCTCTGATGTAAGACGGAGCGATGCTGATGCTCAGATAGCCTCGGAGCAAGGAAGCTTGCTCCAGCCCATCCGGTCGTGTTTCTCCCTAATGGGTATTTCATAATGACTAATTATTTTCCTTTCTGATTAAGCTGGATGGAGGCACACTACACAAATAAGTTTCCTTGTGTTCATAGCCTCATTTAAAAAGAAAATAAGAGAAAACAAATAGCTGTTTTGTATAAGGCCTACCCTAATTTTATTGTATTTAGAATTACTAATAAATAAAAGCAGTGCCTTTTATGCTTATGATTATTATGAATTTGCAAATATAATTAGTCGAAGAAATGAACTTTAGCCTAGATGCAATTTGCTAAACCGATATAAACAAGGTAGAATTAATTAAAGACGGAATGCTCTCAGTTTAATAGGAAAAGGAAGGGCTGCGGGTTGTACCAGGCAAAGGCAAAAGTGGGCCGGGCTGCTTCTGCCTTTATACCATTCCCTTACTAATGCGCTTCATCCCACCTTCTACTCCAGGCTGAACCTGTTATTCTGGACTTGAGAGATCTCTTTCAACTGATTTACGAATTGAAGCAACGAGAAGAATTGGAAAAAAAGGCACAGAAGGATAAGCAGTGTGAACAAGCTGTGTATCAGGTATACCTGTGAATTTACCCGAGTACCAGGGAAGACTAGGACTTCAAATAAACAGATGTGAAAACTGACAGTCAGGTCCTGTCCTCCCGCTGCCAAGTAGAAATAAACAAAGATGAAAGGTTCCCGTGTAAATTTCAGGCATCGAGCGCAAGCCGTTAGAGATGATCTTTTATTCTCTGAAATCCTGAACATGTGAGAGAAAGTGAAATCTTGAATCCCGAGGAAGATTTCTGGGCAGGAGAACAGAAGAAATGCAATTGCTTTTGCTGTTGTTGATAGTGGGCGTGGGGGTGGGGGTGGCTGCAAGAGTTTTCTTTTCCTTTTTTTTTTTTTTTTTCCTGTGTGTTTTCTCCCTAAAATGACCCAGCAGCCTGTCCTACCCAGAGCTGGTTTCTGTACTGTCCTGTGATTTCTGAACACAATCTCACACCTCTTCCTTTATATCTTCTGCTTTTGAACCTCCCTTCACTCGCTCTGCTGTAGACAATTTTGGAAGAGGATGTTGAAGATCCTGTATACCAGGTAATTTCTGAAACCCATCGGGGTTTTAGGGTCAGGAATGGCGAGGCCTGTGCTACAGACACTTTGTCAGAGCCCTGAAGAATCCCCTGACGGCAGAGCCTGGAGAAGGGACCGAGATTATTTCCAAGGGTGCAGGCTGCCAGCCTCTCCAGGAGTGAATTTCCATAAAAAATGAACAGAAATTTGGCTGGCATCCATGACATGGGATCTTGAGATAGGTTTCCTCCTTCCTGCCCCTGCCCCAGCCCCCTCCACTATCTGTAAAAGTTTGATTCTCAGAACTGGATGTTTTCAGGAGTCTCTTGTATATTCCAAGTTCACGTGGAGGCTTCTCTGAGTTAGGAACTGGGGATGGCGAGTGAGTTTGGGTGACATTTGAGTGCAAGCCCAAAGGGCAGTCTGTAAAGCTTTGGGAAGGCTGTGGGGAGAGATCTCTGTGGCCCCTCTGATTGTCTGGATCGTGCCATAGGGGCTGTTGGGAGGAGAGTAAGGGAGATCCTAGAGATGTCCCAGGTAGTCACTATCCCTGGACTCTCAAGCTCGCAGCCCAGGTGTGGCTAGAGAGATGGCTTCTCTTGGATCCAAGTGTGTGCTGTGTACAAACAGATGCGGAGAAAAGGGAAGAGGATGCCTCCCACCACCAACCCCAGCCCGCTCATACTTACTCCCAAGGAGAGAAAAGAGTGAGAAAATGAACTTGCAGGACATAAAAGAAAACCTGAAACTTAGATGTGTGTGTGTGCCACGCATATCTGTTTCCACACAGAAAGCTGGTACAGCTATGACAAAAATAAAACCATATGGATAAAATGAGTAATATAATATGAGTAACACAAAGTAGAGGTTTCTAGCATATGTGACCAAAAAAAGCCAAAGATACGCCTAACGGCATGCCCTGGCTCTAGAATGCTGAGGGGAAGGATTTGTCGAGAATGTGAGCTCTGCCCTGGGCAACTGGCTCACAGGGAATGAAGAATATTGCCCTATTTGAAATGGCTCAGTCCTTTAAAGTCTGAAACGTGCACAGGGGAAAAGAAGTTGAGTTTCAGTATTTAAAACTAAGAATGTAAAATAAGGTGCTATTTATGGGATGTGGAGGTTTGGGGTTTCTGAGCACTTCAAAGCTGAGTTAGGAGCTTTAGGGAAGCAAAGGGGGGGCAGCAGATGTCACCCAGATTATGAAGTTGGGATCCCAGATGTTCCCAGGAGATGTCATTCTCACTCAGCAATGAAGCACTTGCAGACCTTACTGAGATAAAATGCCATTGAATGAAGAAGTTACATCTCCCCAAAGATGTGCAGGGGTCCGTGCAATCACTCCTGTACCACTGACCATCAGACCCTTGCCGTTTTTGTAAGAAAAGGCAGAGGTGTGCAAGGCACCCGTAGTGTTTCCGTAATCCACTTGTCTCTTGAGGGCATTTTCTGTTGTGACTGTTTCTTTAATGCTCACTGAGATTTGTATCCTGAATTCCAAATGCCTTTTTTTTTCCTCTCTCTCCTTCCCCTCTGACCTTTCCTCTCTGGCCGCTCCGTAATAGTACATTGTGTTTGAGGCTGGACACGAGCCAATCCGTGATCCCGAAACGGAAGAAAACATTTATCAGGTATAAAATCGCTTCTCTCTCTTACCATTGCACCGATACCAGTAAATGCTCTGAAGGGTCTGCAGAACCGAGGGCACTCCCTTCTCATGGTCACATAGCTCTTTCTGTCATTCAGGCTCATGGAAGACAACTTCATGTGGTTGGCATTTACCAACTGACCAGAAGTTTTCACACCTTGCTGTGGAAATGCTTAATGGCCACTTGAGTGCGTTGTTTTAATTGTTAATGGATCTTAACTATGTTCAATTGACTCGAGAATCAGACATTCCATTTTAGTAAAGTAACCCATTGGAGGGTTGTTGTCCATGATACAGAAGGGTCCTTCGCTTCTCAAAAGAATGTGTTCATCACATTTCTTTTAAAAGCACTACTGAAAATGAAGGACAAACTCCAAAGCAAACACCTTCAGAACACAGCACTGGAAATATTAACTGAATAAAAGAAAGTACAGCTCCAAGTTTCACCCCTCCTGAAGGGAAGGTAAATTAATATTCTTCAGTGTCTGCTTCTGTGAAAAACCCCACACACACATTTTGACTCACTCCATTCTCACGCACATGCTATAAAGTAGGTATTTAATCCCACTTTTATGAGGGGGAACTGAGGCCCAGAGAAGCTGAGTAACTTCCCGGGGGCTGTACAGCCATTTAGAGCAGCGATCAGACCCCACGTGAGTGAAGGTACAACTCACCGGACCTCCCCCTTGCTTGCCCATCAGAGTTAGAGAAACTGCACCATAGCCACACATCAGATAAATATGACAGCATCCAATTTGTCACTAATTAGAAATTCAGCCTTAATTTGAAATATAAACATCATGGAAGAAGAGGAAAAAATTTAATGTATTTAATAAGTGATTTTAATTTCCTTAACTCACTCAGTTATGTGGTCTGCTATTCTGCCTTAGGCACGCATTACTTATGTAATGAAAGTCAAATAGATTTCCAGTTTCCGCCAAATGCACAGAATTGTAAATGACCAAAGTATAACATCAGCTCTACCAGTAGCTCAGTGTAAACCAGGCCCATGGAGTGATCATCGTCTTTCTCTCCCCTGGATCGGTCTAGATTGGATGCAAGTGTAAGGTTGTGCTCTGAAGTCTTGTTTAAAGTCAGCGCTCACACAGTTTCTGTCTTTAAATGGAAAACTTACATTTTTGTTCTCAGATTTTATTTTGATGGATTGATTTTTAATGTTTATTCACTTCTTGAGAGACAGAGACAGAGTGTGAGTAGGCAGGGGCAGAGAGAGAGGGAGACACAGAATCTGAAACAGGCTCCAGGCTCTGAGCTGTCAGCACAGAGCCCAACGCGGGGCTCGAACTCACGGACCATGAGATCATGACCTGAGCCGAAGTTGGATGCCCAACCGACTGAGCCGCCCTGGCCCCCCTCAGATTTTAAATTATTACAACCTTGCGGTGTCTGAATATGAGGCCAAAAGAAACCATTAACCAGTCATCCCCTGAAGAAAAAGCACCTTGTAAGACAAAATGAGGCTTTTCAGTGCAAAGTTTCTGAATCCCAGCCAAGCCGTAGTTAGTGGCACCTGCGGGCCCCCGTGGGGGACGGCTGGGGGTGTGGGACATCCTGTGTGTGGGAAGAACTGGTTTAGGCGAGCAGAGAACTGGGTTCCAGTCCTGGCTGTGTCACCAACTATCTTTGGCTGAGTGGTAGTGTGCAAGACACTTGCCCTCTATGAGCCTCAGTTTCCCCAGTGGTAAGATAGGGGACTAGTTTCCCTGTAACTCACACGTTGGCATGAGAATGAAGCAAGTTCGTGTGAAGGATGTAGAGAAGAGGCTTCATCCTGAGTCACACAGTGTGTGGATTCGGAATCCTAGTCCAAGTACCAACTCAAGTTCTTTTCCTTCTCTGAGCCTCAGTTTACTCACCTGTAAACTGAGCGACTAAGACTGAAGAGTCTCTTAGGCGAGGTCCTTTGCTGCCTTTTGCAGCTAGTGCCTATCAGAGCACAGCGATTCTTTAGAGAAACATGTTCACTTGCTTTACAGGGCAACAAGACTCTTAGAAATTGTGGGGGGGGGGGTGGGGAGGGGAGAGGGGTAACATTTATTGAGGGCTCCATGAATGGGGTTTACATGCAATATCCTATCTCTCACAACAAGACCGTGTGGCTTGAACCCTCATTCCCAACCTTACAGATGGAACCCTGAGGCTCACACAGATAAGATGTCTTGCCCAAGGTCACAGAGCTCCAAGAGGCAGAACTCCCACTCCCAGCCAAGTCTCTCTGACCCCGGTAAATGCATGAATCCCCGGGCTCTTCTCAGCCGGAATATCCTGATGCAGAGTTTCACGATTAGATTCTGCGTAGGCTCCACGTCCCTATCTAAAAATCACACTTGTTTTAACAGTTGTGACCTCCGGATCTTTCCGGCTGTCCATCATTAGCAGGAAGGTATCGTTTAAGGAAATGAATATTTTATCACCCTCTCTTCTCCTCTCTTGCTTTGCCAGTCAGCTGGGCCTCCATTTGCTCAACACAAGATAAGCTCTTGGGCCCAAAGATAAAGCTGAGCTTTTAAGGAGCTGTGATTAGGGAGCTGCACTCTTCTTTGTGTTTTGAGGGCCTCTGATTATTCCACAGCTATTCATCCTGAGGAGACTACAGTATCTCCAAGTCTTCAGCTTGGCCCAGGGTAGTCTCAGATTTTAATCCCATCCCCTGCTTTCCAGAATGAGGAATGAGGCAGACAGACCTGGGGCCTAATCCTTTAGCTGTTTTGTGGCCTTGGATCAAGTGCTAACTTCTGTATCCCGATCTCCCAGTCTATAAAATTAGGAATGCTGCATTATCTGCCTCTAGAAGTGATGTGAAGGTGTAAAGCTCTTGGTACGTAGTAGGTTCTGTGTAAATGGTAGTTCCTCTACTTCCTGAGAACTTTGTCAGTATCAGATGCTGTTCACGAGGTCTTATGATGTTATATTAAGTGAAGCAGAACATGACTTGGTCGCCTCATCTTGTCAGAGAGCCTAGCGGAAAGTTGCAGCCTCACTTGACTTTGCTATTTGAGGGAGGGAGAGACTCTTGAGTAAATGGAACCTCTCTTTGAGGATCAGTAGTCTCATTTTCCAAACCGGATTAATAATAGTAATTGTCTTTCTTTTTGCGCGCATCAGAAAAAGTTATCAGTCATCTTTCTAAAGCAACACAGAACCTTGCAGTACAAGGGTTTTTTACACCTCACCTGATTTTGACCCTTGCAGTAACTCAGTAAGATAAGCACAGCTATGATGGCTATCGTTTTAAATGGAAGAAAATCAAGTCCTCCAGTTTGAGTGCTGCGCCCAAGGCCAGAGCCTCAGCTGTAAACCTGGTAATTCTTTAGTACGTTAACGTTAACACACGGGCGAGATTGCGGCTTTCCACACAGACATTCTCTGAGTCCTTTGGTTTAAAAATCATTTTTAATCGCCCGTGAGGTGTCAAGTATTGTTATTTTAAAATGATAACTCTCTGCTCCAATGTCACTCAACCCTGAAACTGCCTCTCTAACACTATTAGTATGTCACTGAGCTAAAATGTCTTCTGTACATATAGTGCTTAATGTATAGCTTTTACAGTAGTTTGACATCTATTAACTCCTTTGTTCAAGAAGCAATTGTGTATGGAACACCTAGTGTGTGCCAGGCACACGGGGATGTGATAGACCACAGCGTGGTCCCCACCCTCAACGCGTGTCTAGGCACCCCCTGACTTGCCCACCACAGCTACATGAGAAAACAGAGGCTCAGAGGACAGAGGGGCCCTCTGAGGACTCACAGCCTGTGGCGGAGCCAGGATTAGAAACCAGATCTCCTGCTTCCTGGGCCGCCTGGGTGGCTCGGTCGGTTAAGCGTCCAACTTCGGCTCAGGTCATGATCTCGAGGTCCGTGAGTTTGAGCCCTGTGTCGGGCTCTGTGCTGACAGCTCAGAGCCTGGAGCCTGTTTCAGATTCTGTGCCTCCCTCTCTCTCTCTGCTCCTCCCCTGTTCATGCTCTGTCTCAAAAATAAATACACGTTAAAAAAAATTTTTAAACAGATCTCCCGCTTCCTTTTGGTTGAGAACTGCCATCACTCTACACCGCCATATTACTGAAATGGTCTGCAGGCAGAGTGGACCAGCCAGGCAGGGGTGAGAACCAGCACACGAGGCACGTTCTGGTCTTTGGCCCTTAAACACTTCTGCCCTTAGCACATACATGGTAAATGTTCAGTGCTTAAACATTTCCTGTGTAACCAGTATTTACGGGATGAGGAACAGGTTAGCAAAATACCTGCCCTGCGCTGCACAAGCTCACGGGCAGCTGCAGTGTGGGTTGATAGCTCCTATATAAGATAAAGCACTTTTGACACTCGTGTGAGTAACCCAATTACTTTCTCAACTCCTCCCAGTAAAACAAGGAGCTCCATTCACTCGGGGGCCTTATCCAGCTTGTTTGCCATCACTGTCCCTGGCAAACCACAAAGCCTGGTACATAGTAGGTTCTTGGCCACTTTTATTTTTTAGTGGACGAATGTACCAGAGCTTACAAGAGTCCAGAGGAAGGCTCCGACCAGGTAGAGAGCCAGGCAAGGCTCCCAAGAATGTATCCTGCCCGACATAAATCTTTAAGGACAAACAGGCAGATTGATATGTCACCCATGGGAGAACCAAGTAGCAAAGCTTTTTCAATTATGCACAGTTTGGGTTTATCCATCCTGCCGCTTCTCCTCCATTTGCAGGGATAATTGAGAGTCAGCTGCGGTTCAACTTGCTAAGTGCCCATAGCGAGCAGTGAATTACGAGGAACAGAAATGCTGTTCATGTTGCTCAGGAAAGGGTGAGCCAGTAAAAATACAAGTGCGGGCTGGTAATTTATTGGCCCTTGTTAACAAGGACTCCGTAGGCATTCTTAGAGGATTCCTTTTAGAGGGAGCTGAGTTATCGGGAGCAAAGAAATTACATTCGTCATTGGCTACCTGCAAACTAGGGTTTGCGAGAGCGGCTCAGGAAGCGCATCTTTCTGCGTGGTCCGTGCTCCGCCATGGACCTCCCGTTTTCTGCAGGAACGTGCACAACCTTCTGCAAGTGTAGAATGTGATGTCAGAGAAAAGGGTGCAATCAAAAACAGCTAGGGAATGGCGGGACCAGGGGTGAGGTGCAACTGTCTATACCGCGTAGTAGTTAAAACGCGAACTGTCAGAACTCCAGCTCTCGCCCCCCCCCCCCCCCACCTGCAGGATGCTCTCTGGGCTTCATTTTCCTCCTCTGCAACATTGTGACAGTTGTCATCTTTGCCCAACTGACTTGTCTTGAGGACTGCATGCAAATACATGTAAACCCTCAGAACAGTGGCTGGCACCTAGGAAGTGCCCTGTCAATGTCAGTTTGGGCTGTTAGTAATAAATATTTTGTTCGGTAGCCAGAAAGAGCTGGGTTTGAATCTCACCACTTAACTAGCTTTAAAGCTTTGGAAAAGTTACCCTGACATCTCTGAGCCTCAGTTTTTCACCACCTAAAGTGAAGATTCTAATACCGAGCTCTTAGGATTATTAGAAGGATTTTTTTTTTAATTTTTTTTTCAACGTTTTATTTATTTTTGGGACAGAGAGAGACAGAGCATGAACGGGGGAGGGGCAGAGAGAGAGGGAGACACAGAATCGGAAACAGGCTCCAGGCTCTGAGCCATCAGCCCAGAGCCCAACGCGGGGCTCGAACTCACGGACCGCGAGATCGTGACCTGATTGAAGTCGGACGCTTAACCGACTGCGCCACCCAGGCGCCCCTATTAGAAGGATTTTAAGCTAAATTGATGAGCCTGGAAATAGCACAGGGTCTCGAGGAATGAGCCCAAATTCTTCCTTCTTGTTAATGGTATAGTTAGCTGGTCCAAGCCTAAAAGACACTTTTTCTTTTCCTTCACTGGTCCCCACATTTCTTATGAAACATTTACGCAGCAGACATCTACCAGATGCCTACTGAGCGTTGGGCACTGTGCCTGCTCTTAAAGAGCTCCCAGTCTGGCGAAAAGAAACACAGATTAGCAGACAGAAGACCACTGCAGGCTGATGCCTCAGATGGGGGTAGGAGCTACACTGTGCTAGTTCCTGGGAAGCACACATGATTGCTCTCGATCCGGAATGTTTCAGGGTAACACCCTGACTGGCCCATTAGAAAAGTGTTCAACCTATCTACTGTTGTTAATATTATAAAATACATGCTGATCCTTATTTATACGATGTGTCAGCAATAAAAGAAGCTCTCATTCTAACACTTCACAGTATCACAGCTCCTAATCGTCTGTATTTACTGTCTGCTTTGTCGTTGGATTCCCACAGTAACCCAAATCAGAAGCAGAGCCAGTAACACCCATTTTAGGATCGTGACGCTCCGAGGGGCTGTGGCCTGTTCAGGGTGTGACAGTTACCAAGTGGCCCGATAAGACCAGATGGAGGAGTACGAGGAGAGAGGGAGGAAAGAAAATACAGATACATATGAAAAAACAATTGGAATTTTCTCGACTCTTGTTTTGCGCTTTCCCTGCCATTAACGGTCCCTTTTCTTGGAAGACACTTTGGGTAAATATCAGACAGCTTGTCCATGATCCCAGCAGAAGCCGTTCTTTATGCTGAGACCTTGATGTTTGCTATATTGTAAATAACCTGACTCTCAGCTTAAACTCAGCTGCAAACTAATTTTAATCACTTGGGACAAGTCAGAGCACCTCTCTGAGGCTCATTTCTGTCTTTGGCGAAATGAGGATTATTTTTTCCACCATATGACCTCTGAGGTCCCTGCAGCCTCTGTCCTGTGATTCCATGAGGAGCCCGATGGCAGAGACACCCTGCACTCATTTAAGTGACTCGCACACTCCTCCCTCATCCGGCTTTCCTCAGGGAAGGAGCCTGGCCTCCTGCTTCTACACTTGTGGAGGGCCCTTTGATTTGGGACCCTCGGGCCTCAGGGGCCATTCTCACACACACTTAAGCCAGCTTGAAGTTGAAGCGTGATGGCTTTGTTCTCTGAAAGTGGAGTATCAAAGTGTTTTGACCGTGTCGAATTTGATTTTTCCATAGGTTCCCACCAGCCAAAAGAAGGAAGGTGTTTATGATGTGCCAAAAAGTCAACCTGTAAGTGTAAGTAAATCTTCTCTCTTCTGCCAGGCTCCCGTGACCTGCACTCCTACGCGGCTGTGTCTACAGCTTGAGGAAGGGAACCCCTCTTCTGGATAGGCATTATAACTTAGAGAGCTTTGCCAGGGCCTACATGGCACGGACTCCTCAGTGAGTCAGAGGGAAGGGGGCATAAGGCGGAAATGGTGAGGCTGAGGAAGGGTTGCCAACCTGGACCGAGGTCTGGCCCCCTGCGTGGCGGTGAGTTGAACTGCACAAACCACTGTGTCCAGGGGTCTCAAGGACTGAGTTGTTCCATGACAAAAGTCTCCGGCCAAAGACTTAATTATACCTGATCAAATAGGGGGCAGTGTCTCGATCCTGGGAAGAGTTGCCCATCCGATTTAAAAGTGGTTGACAGGTCTCAGAGGGATCATAGAAGAGCCAGCCAGGGCCTTTAGAGTGTCTAAGGGTCCAGCCAGTGGACAGACCACCAAGAAAAAGGCCACGCGTAGTGGGCTTGCAAAGAACCCGGCAGGTCCACTACATCTGGACCCCATCGGCCAGTGGGACTCCTGGAAATGGAAAATATCAAGCTGTGTGACACTGCCACAAGCCAGTGCTAGGCCAGGCCCAGATTTCGGCCCCCCATCCAGTCGGCGTGCGGAAGGCAGCCTCTGTACGTGATTCAGGAGCACTGGGGGACTCTTGCCCAAGGGGACATTGGACTTCACCGCGGCCTGTGTAAACAGAACCAGGATGTTTAGTCACCGCTGATCTCATTCAGCTCAGTGATGGGTACAAAGAGCACAGGCTTTGAAAACAGACCCCCAGGAACTCCAGCCCTGACCCTAACAGGACTGTTGTGAGGCTGGATGACTCTCTGGGCTGTTGTTATTGGTCCTGGACCCCACCCTGTGAGAGACACAAAGACACCCCCGCATTTTTCAAGGTCAGATTGATAGGGCAGTTTGAAACCCCATAACCAGGGCAGCAACTGAAGGACCTAGAAATGCTTGGCCTGGAGAAAAGGAACCATAAACGTGGAGATGGGAGTCCCCAGGGCTACCGGTTGGAAGAGGGCTTACAGTGTTCTGTATTGGCCAGCCCAAAGTGACGGTGACCTTCCTGAGCAGTGGTCAGAGCTGTGAAGAGTTAGAACAGCTGGCACCTAGGGGAGTGAGCTCCCCATCACTGGAGCTGGTGCAAGCAGAGCCTAAAAGGCCCCCTGTCAGAAAAACTATAGGAGGATTCAAATGTGGAATGGGCAGAGGGGAAAGAGGAGCTCCTGTTGTCCCTTTCAAACCTGACCTTCTGTCCTGAGTTGAGAGTCTTTCTGGCTCATTCTTACCCTCCTCTGCCCCTGTTGTCTTTTCACCTGGTGAAATTTCTTCCTTTTCCTATCAGCGTCCATTCCTCTTCCCAATATCCTGCATCCACCAGACCCCACCTAAATCCTGCTCCCGAAAGCCAACACATGTTAGGTTTCATGAGACAGCATATTTGAATGGGGTCCTCAAAAACTTGAGTCTACGAGGTAGTTGAGAACGTGAAGTGGAGTGTCGCTCAGAGAAAAAGCAGTTTTTCTCCTTGAGGCCTTTGCATTTGTCAAGCCTTCTTGTCACGGAGACACTGGTCCGTTCGTGTTTCCGTTTGGTTCAGCTCCCATCACACAGCTCCCTACAATTCAATTTGTGCCCAAATTGCTTCGCTTGCCCCTAACAGGTTTAGATACGTGAGGAAACATGCTCCATTTGCCGCCTTGGTTTTCGTGAATTTATTAACCAGTCTGGCCACACCATCTCCATGCTTAATAGCTGAAAAAAAAAAACCCAACCAAACAAAAAAAGCCCAAGCTCCTTAGCCTGACATACACGGCACTCAGATGCCAGCCTCAGCCCAGATCTCTGGTCTACCTCCCCCTGGTCTAGCTCTACTGAATTCTGCAAGCTTCTGAAGGAGCCACATCCTCCCCTAATAGCCCAGCTTAGCTTCAGGCTATGGGGACTCAGGGAGACTTTGTGGTCTTCTGCTAAGTGTGAGCAGATCACCCCTACCTCTGTGCCCCACTCCCTATCATTCCTCTGTTAACAGCTCTTGGCACACAGCATCCCAACTCTTCTCCTGGCTCCTTACTTCCAGGAACTTCCTGAGGTCCTTGGATTACCAGAAGCAAGCCCAGGGTCTGGCATGTGAAAGGCAGGGATGACACAGCCGCTCAAGGTGTGTTTCACAAATATACACATGACTCTGCCTGTAGAAAGAATTGAAAATCCTTACACTTTCTTTTAAAGGGAATTTCCTGCTTATCTGACTCTGAAATAGGCATTAAGTAAACATGCTCAGGTTTTGCTTGGGAAATATCTGGGCTGCCTGAACGGCCAGCAGTAGCTTCCAACCCTCTGTTCGCATAGAGTCCTAGAAGCATCTGTGCTTTTCCGTGAACAATTTCAACATTTCTAAAAGCCAGAGACAGGTAGCAAGTCAAAAGTATCAACTCTAGTGGAGGGGCGGATGCTTGCGTTTGGTATCTCAACTCCTGTTCTTACTACCTGTAGGACTTCTGATAAGTTCCCTTGTTTCTCTACACCTCCCTGCTCTCATCTATCAAAGGAGTTACTAAACCCAACTTACTGAATGATTTTGAGGAGAAAACAGCATGTGTATTGGAAACTTGATCCCACTTGCCTAAACTTCCCAGAGGTACTTTAAATATCCCACAGCCCACGTCCCTCACTGTTCTGGGACCTTCCTGTTCTCCAAGCTGGCCCCTGTAGACCTGCCTCCCTGATGAGTGCATATTCCCTGGGATACCGCTGTGCCCTGAAAATCTCTGCTGTGATCTCGATGTTTGCTCCCTCACCACCTGCTCCTTAACCAGAAAGACAAATAAACCAAAGACAGCCAAGTCCGTGCATATTAAGCAGCTTCAAGCCAGATTGACAGCTTCCACAAGTTTCCCACAAGAAGGGAAACTGTCCAGTGGCCTGTTACTCTAGGAACCACCGGTTTCTTCTTCTTTGGGTCCAGAGCCCAGTCTGCCCAGAGCCCAGTAAGAGACTCAGCTTGGGGCTGTCACTGGGGAAGATCACACATCAGCCCCAGAAGAAATGGCCTGATCTTCAGCATCAGACTTGGGTATGCTCTCATCCTGGCCACCCGCTAAGGGTCCTCGAGCATCTTTTTCCATCTCTAAACCCCAGTGTCGTAACCTGCAAAGAGAAAGGAATGCCTGCCTTGTAGCTTTGTTTGGAGGACTAAAGGAGACATTTACGTAAAACCTTAACAGGGGATATGGATTAGATTAAACGAGAACATTACCGTCGGTTGTCGGCACGAGCAATCCACCAGCCAACAGTTCACACTGAGGCGGGGATTGCAAGTATGCTAGGTGATTGCACACCTCCTCTAGGAAGCCTTTTTTTTAACCCCAGAGTACACAGCTCCCCCAGGAGACCTCTGTGCTTCTCTGTGCAATGATCACAATGCACTGTTACCTTTTCTTAATGAATCCGTGTGAGCCATTGGACTTTGAGTTTCTTAAAGGCCTTGGCTTCGGTGTTAATGGTACCTGCCTTAGAGTTTTTTGTGTTAAGGACTAAGTGAGCTGAAGAATATGAATCAACACAGTGCTTGGTGCAGAGTAGGGATTCAATAGCTGTGAGCTGTTACTGTTCTGCTCTGTGAGCTCCTTGAGGTCAGGAATCGCTTTTAATCATCACTCTTTCTACAGTAACTCCTCTGAGGATTTCTGCTCCCTTTGAGCTTTTGATGGTATACTCTTTCCCCGTGGGTGGCGGGAATCTCATGCGCCCAAGTAAATTTTTATAGGCCTTGAAGCCAGGGGGATCCTTGATTGCAGCTCTAAAATCTCTGTCCTGGAGTCTCAGTCCCCTGGACTAGGGTGGCTCACTGTCACCCTACATGGCCAAAGGTGTCCTCATCAAGGTGTCACGTTTGGTGCATTGGGTTCTAGAGTTTGAGAAGTCGTGGCATTTCTTCTGGGTCTTGCCCACCCCAGTGCATCACCTGATGGGACACAGTTTTGTCTCCATCAGTTGGGCTGTTGGTCCAGACAGAGAGCCGGTTCTCTGTCTTCAGTCTCCTCTCTGACATCATGCATCCACGCCCTGGTTTACACCACCAGGCACCATAGCCTTGGGGAGCCAAGCTCTACCAGCCCCTTTCTTGTTCCCTTTTGCACAAATAATGTGTTAGGATGCTTTGTTTGTCCTAATCCGGACCTATAATGTTACCTTCCTGTAACAGATTTGTTCTTAGGGTCATACTACACTCCTCTCCACTCTTACCTAGGACTCTGAGACAAGATAAGGATTAATCCCATTCGCTCCCAGAAATATACATTTCCTCTCTTCCTAGTCAAGGCAGGTAGAAGATTTGTACAGAGGCTTTATTTTCATGCCAGGGTCTCCAAACTCCGATAGAATTGATGCTTGCTGATAGGGAATATTAGCCGACTAGAGAGGCAGGGAGGAAAGAGCATATAACTTGGGCAAAGCCTTGAAGGATGAGCAGAGCCCCTTCTGGGCATATCATTGGATGGGCACAGCCCCTTCTGGGCATATCATTAAGGTCCTTCTGGCTCCTGAGTTTTTATTTCCTCTACTAGCTGGTACTCAGAACTGATGAATGTATCATCAGTTTCCTTCTCAGAAACGGGTAGCCTTTCTTTCTGCCAGATGATAATGCGTCTGGTGTTCTTTAGACAAATATCCTGGCCTCTTAGGGGCTGTCGGGAAGGCACCTCCCTGAGTGGAGAGGAAAACGTCAGCTCAGTAGCCCATTACCGCATCCATTATTTAGTGCTTTTTGCCCTCCGTTAGCCTTTGAACATGATTCTGGTTCTACAGGGGGACCCAGTGGAATCACACATTCACAGTTTGCTCAAGTGCCTGTTTTGGACCCTGTCACGCCCCACAACGCTCAACTTGGTTGAGGCTTAACCTTCATAGGTCACCAGACCTAAAGCTCAGCATGCCTTATGTCATTGTCACATGAGAAGT